TGCTGCTGCTGCTGCTGCTGCTGCTGTTGGTCTTACTGCAGCTGCTGGTCGTACTGCTGGTGTTGGTTTCATTGCTGGTGTTGCGCCTGGTCTGCGTGCGGGTCCGTGTGCTGCTGCTGCTGCTTGCTACCTGCTGCTGCTGCACGCAATCTGCTGCTGCTGCTGCTGCTGCTGCAGGCGCTGGGGGACACGGACTACCGCGTGCGGTTTGCTGCCTGCCAATGCCTGGGCCAGCTGGCCCTCGACCACGCCCCCACAGTGCAGCACGAGTACACTCACGAGCTGCTGGACCCTCTAGTCCGCTGCTTCTCCGACCCGGTCAGTCTCCCCCTGGCTAGCTAGCTAGGTAGCTAGCTGGCTGCCAGGCTGGCTCCCAGCTAGCTACCCAGCCAGCTACCCAGCTAGCTCCCCTCCAGCTGAGCTAGCTAGGCGGGTTGTCAGCTAGCTGATGCGTTCCTCTGCCAGCTGGCTCAGTTGGATGGCAGCCTACATGTCTAGCTAGCTAGCTAGGTAGCTAGCTAGCTAGGTGGCTAGCTGGCTAGCAGCTGAGCGGTGCTTGCGGCTGTTTGCAGACCCCGCGGGTGCGGAGTCACGCCTGCGCGGCCTTTGTGAACTTCGCGGAGGAGTTGGAAAAGAAAGAAATGAAAAAAGTGCTTCCTGCAGTTATGCCCAAAGTGCTGGAGCTAGCTGACACCTCTTCCCGTGAGCGCTGAGCCGCAGCCACGCTAGCCAGACGCGCAGCAGCGGCCACACTGCAGCACGAGCAGCAGCAGGAACTGCAGCAGCAGCACCAGCAGCACCAGCAGTAGCGCCCGCAGCAGCGCAGCAGCAGTGACAACTGCAGCAGTACCAGCAGCAGTAGCAGTAGCACCTGCAGCAGTAGCATCAACAGCAGCAGCAGCGGTAGCAACTGCGGCAGTACCAGCAGCAGTAGCAGCAGCAGCAACTGCAGCAGTAGCATCAACAACAGCAGCAGCAGTAGCAACTGCAGTAGTATCACCAGCAGTAGCAGCAGCAGCACCTGCAGCAGTAGCATCAACAGCTGCAGCAGCAGCAGCAGCAGCAGGTTTGGTGTGTGTGGGGGGCGTGCAGCGCTGCTGGTGCGGCAGCACGCAATAACTTGCATAGCAGTGGTGGCTGGAGTGCTGGAGAGCGACTTCAAAGTTTACTACTCTTCAGTGCTGCCGGCGCTGCTGCAGCTAATAAGCCAAACGGGCCCGCAGCCCAGCAGCCACAGAGAGGCGGCGCTGCTCAGCAGCCTCAGGTGCAAGGCCATCGAGGCCGCCTCCATCGTGGGCTACAGCGTCGGTAGGGTTTAGGGTTTAGGGTTTGGGGGATGCGGGAGCTAGAGGTAGAGAGTGGAGTCAGCTGCAGCGAGGGCATTGACAGGAATGAGCCAAGCAAATCCAGTAAAGCTCGCGGCACCTGCACCTGCTGCTGCTGCTGCTGCTGCTGGTGGCTGCAGGGAAGAGCGTGTTTGCGCCGGACAGCAGGGTGGTGATGGAGCAGCTATTGCAACTGTTCCGTACGACGGAGTCTTCTCTGGTGGCTGCGAACAGCGCAAGCAGCAGCAGCAGCAGCAGCAGCAGCAGCGGGGAGGAGGCGGAAGAAACGGAAACTTTGCGGGAATACCTCGCAGAGGCCCTCGCTAGACTCTGCAGAGTCTTAGAAGCAGATTTCATTCCTTACTTGGGGCAGCTGCTGCCGCAGCTCTTCGCCGTTTTGGCGCTGCAGCCCCGCGAGCTGCAGCCCGACGAGCTGGCCCGCGCCCAGGAGGACCCCGCCTTTGAGGTGCGCTTCTTCAGCACTTTGCTGCTGCTGCTTTTCAAGTTTTGCTGCTGCTCTTCCCCCCCTTTCAGCTTCTTTTTGGGCTTCTGCTGCTGCTTCACGCGCCTCGTCAGCCTCTTTTCAAGTTTTGCTGCTGCTCTCTAGTTTCGTTTTAAGTTTTGCTGCTGCTTCCTGCGCCCTCCTACCTTCTCCCCGTTGTCCGCTGCTGCTCTGTTGTAACTTCTTTTCTGGCTTTTGGTGTTGTTTTGCGTGCTTTTACAACTTGTTTCAAACACAATCCGTCTTCAAAATTTGCTGCTGCCCTTCGCACTTTGTCACCTTTTCAAGTTTTCCCTCTGCGTTTCACGCTTGTTTCACTTTTTTTGTGCGAATTCATTCAAACACATACGGATTTGAAGAAAGGCAGCAGCGAGGGCATCAGAAAGCCTCTTTTTTCTGGGTTTATGGAGTGCACTTTGCCTCTTTGTGATTGAATTTGTATTTGAGCGTTTAGATGCATTTAAATGCGCCGTAATGGATTCAAAAATGTACTTTGGCGCTTTTCAGGACATGACTTATGTGATGCTGGATGAGACAAAAAGTGTGGGGCTGCGGACTTCGCTGCTGGAGGAACAAGAGCGGGCTTTGGAGCTGCTGCAGACGGTGCTGTCAGTGCTGGCGCAGCCGTTAGCTGCTGCTGCTGCAGTGCCAGAGACTGCGGAGGAAGTGCGGGGGCTGCTGCTGCAGACCGCACAAACCATTGGTCCATTGCTGGGCCACATGCTTTCGGAAGCGGTCAAGGAAAGGGCCCTGGAAGCAACTGCTTCGCTGTTGGAGGTCCTGGCCCTTTGCCCGCAGCACAGCAGCATCAGGCGCCAGCTGCTGCTGGAGACTCTGCGAGACGTTTTTGCTTCCCTTGCAGACACAGACACTGACGCAGAAGCAGCACAAACCCAAGTTGCTGCTCTTTCCCGCTGCATCGACGCAGCAGCAGGCGGCATCCTCAGCCCTCTAGAGGTCGGCAGAAGACCCACTGCTGCTGCTGCTGCTGTTCTGCACCACTGGTCACTTTTGTGCCCCTCTTCTGCAGCTCTCTTCACAGCGAATCCGGCTGCTGCTGCTGTTGTTGGTGCTGCTGCTGCTCCTGTCTTCGCCTCATTTCTGTGTCCGTGAATTCCCTGTTTGCCTTTCCCCCCTTCTACTTGCGTGGCCCGAGTCTTCTCTTTCTGCTCCTTGTGGCAGTCTAGCTGCTGCGTCTGTGCTCTTTCTCGCCTGTGCAGCAGCAGCAGCAGGGTGTGCAGTGCTTCTGTGTTGCTGTAGGTGGCTGAGGAGGTGCACAAGGCGATGGAGCTACTGCGCAAGAGTGGCGAGAGGAGGCAGCAACTGGCAGCTTCGCGACAGGCGGAGGCAGAGACCGAAGACGAAGAGCTATCAGACGAAGTCGAGGACGAGGAGACTGTGGGTTTGCTGCTGCTGCTGCTGCTGCTGGTGTTGCTGCTGCTGGTGATGGTCTGTGTACGGGTTTGACACCTCCGGTTGCGATCAAGCCACAAACATGACGCTGCCACGTGCGCTGCTGCGTCTGCGGCATCTGCCACCGGCGCACCTGCTGCTGTCGCTGCTGCTACTGCTGCTGCTGCTGCAGGAGAGGAACTTGTGCTCGTCGTTGGTGGAGTTGGTGGGGTCGCTGATGCGGAGCCACCCCGCGGAGTTCCTGGGGGGCCCTGCAATAGAGTCGGCTTTGGGTTTTGCTGAGGGTCTTCTGGGGCCCAACGCATGCAACGACGACAAGGCTGTGGGGCTGTTTGTTTGCTGCGACATTCTACAGCACCTCAAGGTACTCGTTTAGGGCCTTGAAGCCTTATAGAGGCCCTCATTAAGGGCATCTAGAGCCTTAGATAGTGTTATGGCATTTTATGCTTTATAGGGGGCCTTGTTAAGGATATTTAGACCTTTTTTAGAAGTCAGTTTTAAATCCATTTGGTGCCTTGTAGGAGATTTAGCTAATTGTATCTTTCAGCCTATAGGGGTCTTGATAGCGGCATCTGCAACATCTTGGAGGCCCCTAGGGGCCCCCTCGTGGCCTTCGTGGGGCTCTTGGGGGCCTCTAGGGGCGCTCTGCAGAAGCTGCTGATGCAGCAACAGTGCAGTGCATTTTACTTTTGCGAATTATGGTTTGGGGTTTAGGGTTTAGGGTTTTTAGTGTGGTGGTTTGTGGCTGCGCAGGAGGGGTCCATTGGGCTCTGGCCGCGGTTTCTGCCGCAATTGTTGGAGTGCCTTTTGAGTGAAGACCAGCGGGTGGTTCAGGCTGCTGCCTACGGGGTGCAGCAAGCAGCAAAGGTTGAGGGGTTTGCTGCCTTTGCTGCTGCTGCTGCCAGAAATCTGCTGCTAGTCATGGACAAGGGCAAGGGCAAGCGCGGAAAAACATGCACTGTAAGCGGCTGCTGCATGCACTGCTGCTGCTGCTGCTGCTGCTGCTGGCACGCATGTCGCGTGCAGCAGAAGAAGGTTGCTGCAGCTACGCAATAGGAGAGGTTGGCCGTTGGCTGCTGCAGCAGCATGCGAGGTGCCCGTGCTCCGGGCGCGTCTCCTACTGATGCTGCTGCTTCTGCTGCTGCTCTTGCTGCTGCTGCTGCAGGCAGCAGTGGACAATGCCGTCGCCGCCCTTGGGGACCTCGTGGAGTACCAGGCAGCAGCTCTTGGGGAAGACACAGAACGCCTGACAGCAACTTGGTTGAGTTCGCTGCCTCTGAAGCAAGACGCAACAGAGGGCCTCCGCGTGCACAAGCAGCTTCTCGAAGCACTCAAGAGGGTACGAAGTCCCGTTGCTGCTGCTGCTGCTGCTGCGGCAGCGGAGGGCAGCTTGCGGGGCCTTTGGAAACTACAGCTCGCTAGCACTTTTGCTGCACTGATCTTCACCGAAGTCGTGCGAGCGCCCCAGATGAGCACCTTCCGAGACTGCTGCACTGCAGCACAGCTGCACAGCTAGCTAGCCAGCTAGCCATCTAGCTAGCTAGCTGAGTGTTGGCAGTTGCTGAGCTGTTTGCTCTGCAGGACCGCAACGGCTTCTTCAGCGCGGAGCTGTCCCGCGTGGGCCACGCGCTGGGGGTGCTGGCTGGGGTTTATAAGACGGCGTTTGCCGATGGGGAGCTGGATAAAGAAACAGTGGCTCTTTTTGAAAAGGTGAATGCCTCTGGCGAGCCCGCGCCCCTTGAGCAGCTCGCCAAGGCCTTCACCCCCAAGCAAACCAAGAAACTCAGACGCATTCTTGAAGATGCAGCTACCCCGGCGTAGCTAGCTAGCTGCCAATGACAGCTAGCTACCCAGCTAGCTAGCTCGCCAGCTACTGAGCCCAGCTAGCTAGCTAGCTGGCTCGCTGGCTGGCGAGCCGTTCGCAGCTCCGTTTGTGCTGCGGCAGTAGAGCTGCTAGGCCTCCGCGGCGCCCCCCAGGCCTCTGGTTTTTCCCAGTAGCTGCTGCTGGGGGCGCCGCCGGAAGCAAAGTGGCAGCTGCGGAGCTGCGGATTCTTCTGTGTCTTCTTGTTGGCCCAGAGGCCAGACAACTGCGTCTTTAGTCCTGCACTTTGAGCGCATTTTAAGTACTTAAGCGGCTGCCACAACCTTATTTTATTCTGTTTCGTTGACTCTTTCTTCTTCACATCTTCACTACTGGAACTCACAAGAATGCACTAGTAATAACTAATATTTCCTTTTCGAGGCAGCTCTTCTCTGTAGGGCACGCAACCCGTCTGCAAAATGGCAAAAAATCAGAGGCACAGCTGCATGCGCATGCAGTTGCATGCGCAGTTAATTTGCTGCTGCCTCTTGTGTGGGGCTGAGCGGCTGGGGAGCTGCAGAGGGAGGCAGCAGCACTAGAGAGCAGCAGGTCAGCGATTGGGTGCACCTGCAGCAGCAACTGACACCGCTGCTCTTTGCTGCTGCTGCAGCCGCTGCCAACTCCAAGTCCACAAAGCGGAGTGAAGCCCCTCAGGCGCAGGCCACTCTTCAGGCACCAAGAGCTCTTGCTGTTGCTGCTAAACCCCAAACCCTAAACCCTTAACTCCAGCCCTAAACGACCTGCTGCTGCTGCCTATCGGCGTAGAAGCGAGGGAGCCGGGGCAGCAAAAGCATCCCTCCAGGGGGCCCCTGCTCAGCATTCCTAGGCATTCTGGAACTCTAGATTTGTTTACTACCAGTCCCCCAGCCCCCCTTTTCCTCTGCGAAATTCCCTAACTCTGGGTTCTTGATGCTTCCGATCCCTACCGTGCTGCTGCTGCTGCTGCTGCTGCAGCAGCAGGCAGCAGGCTGGTTATGTTCGCTGCAGCGGGAGACGCTGCAGTTATCTAGAGCTAAGCTGCAGGCCCATTCGGCTACTACAGCTGCGTGGCGAAAGGTAAGAAGCCGTTCGGGACTGAGGGGCCCCCTCTAGCTGCCAGTGCCTCCAGAGCCCGCAAGGGGGCCCCCTTCACCAGGGGGGCCCCCACAAGCACGCTGGACCCCACCAGCACGGGGGCCCCTCACCAGCAAGGGGGCCGCTCTACAGCAAGGGGCCCTCACGCTATGTGCCCTCCGCAAAGTCTGAGGGCCCCACTTTCGAGAAAAGTAAAACTGAAGTGCTAGGAGCTCTTTAGAGCCTTTCTGGGGCCCCTGTGGGGCCCCAGAAAGGCTCTAAAGCTGCAGCAGCAGCAAAATCCTTCGTTGCTGCTCATCAGCAAGGCTGGTGAGCAGCAAATAGACCCGCGGGGGGCCCTAGCCTGCTGCCTGCAGCATGACCCTTGCGGGCTTTATTGCCGGGGGCCCCGGGGCCCCCAGCTTCCCAGGGCCGCCTTCTCCTGCTTATGGCTGAGTCAAAAACTCTCTGCAGATCTTCAGCTTTGGGGGGCCCCGGTGGGCCCCCTTGCAGCACCTGTAGTGCTTTTCGGGGCCTCCGCTCTTGC